AGAGGATAGATACATGTTGTATTCGTAGTATCAGGTTGTATCACGAATACAATTGATACAATTGATTTGTATCAATTGTATTCATTTTAGGAGGAGAGAGGCAAGCGAGATCGAGAGAGGGAGGAGAGATGTTGTATTCGTTGTATCACGAATACAATTGAGTACAAATACAATCGATACAAATACAAATGTCTGAATACAATTGATTTGTACCATAGATCGCATATGATTGTATCAATTGTATTAACGAACACAATTTGTGTAGAAGAATACAATTGGCAGAATACAAACTGTCATAATATGATAAATACAAAATACGTATACAGTTGATACATAATACATTTGGACAGTTGATATGAAACACAAATACATTTGATACATAATACAAAATACAATATTTATGTGGATGTTTTTTGGGCAAGAGCGAGAGAGATTTGCTATAAAACCCTACATATAGCTATGAATTGTAATTTTTTATACTATAGTGGTTTATCGTAAATACATATGATATGTTTGCCTTGTTGAGTAATTTTCCCTAATAAATATTATGTATAAGTTAGCTACACCAAATAATTATTTCATATAAAAATATAATGCTAAATAATATCATTGAAAAAAAACCTCACTTTTTTAAATGTATAATTTACATAAATCTCATAATGTTAAGAGTTAATTACATTATTTTCCTACTCTTTTCCAAATTACAAGAATCCCTTAAAATTTATGGATTTCGGATACATCACTGGACTTCCGGATACATCAACAGACATCCAAATACATAAGGGAAGGATGTATTCGAGAGGAGAGGGATGTATCAGAGAGGGATAGGACATCTGAATACATAGGGGAGGGATGTATTCGAGAGGAGAGGAATGTATCAGAGAGGGATAGGACATCTCTGATAAGGATGTATCAGCGAAAGAGGGGAATAATGTATCCGAGAGGGAATTTTTTTTAAAGTTTTAAATGGTAGAGAATTTTAGACATTATAGTAAAATAAGACGTGTATTTAGGTAATTTTTTCTTTTACAATTAAGAGAAGAAAATAAAATAAAGTAGTTCCCTTAATTAAAAAAAAAAAAAAGACCTAAAATTACTTTACATGAAATAATTGTTTAAGTTGAGGTTTGGTAGTACACCATAACCAAGTTCCCAACTTGCAACTTCAAAACGGGTTGTTGTGTCGGGCAAAACATCTACTTTATTCCATCTTCGCACGTCCTTTTTACTTTGATGTGTTAACTTGGTCAAACTCTTGCGATTCCCTCTTCAAAATTCCACTTTTTTTCAAGAAAATGGTATGCCTAAGTATTTTTTTTTTTTTTTATAATAATTTTTTTTGTTGGATTTTGAAATTTTTGATGTGTTAACTTGGTCAAACTCTTGCGATTCCCTCTTCAAAATTCCACTTTTTTTCAAGAAAATGGTATGCCTAAGTATTTTTTTTTTTTTTTTAATTAATTTTTTTTGTTGGATTTGGAAAATTGAAGTTTGAATTTTAATGGCAGATGAGAAATGGGTTATGTCAAGTTTGGATCGGTATTACAATATCAATATTGGTGATTGGATTGAACATGAAAGGTGCATTTGGGATTAGATTTGTAATTGAAAAAGAAGAATGTTTTTCTCATAAGGTTGAAATGGGGGAAACAGTTCATTATTCATTTGTTGTTATCAAGTCTGAAGGCGATTGGCATCACAGTAATGACGGTGTTGATCTTGTGGTACCAATTTCTATACCTTAATATTTTTGTATTTGAATCTCCAAGTTTTTAAAATGCTCCAAATTCGACTTATGCATTTAAATCTGGGTAAGTAGCAGTAAAAACACCAATTTATGGTAGTTAGTTGTATCAAGACTCTGTATTAATTAAGTTAATTATGTATGTGATAATGGAAGTGGATTCAGAACACCGGCATTGTTATTTTGTAAAATAAAAAGTTGGAACTAGCAAGGTTGTATGTTTATTTCTATTTCAGAAAGCTACCACGTATTGACATAATTAAAATTTAAAATATAAATATGTAGAAAACTATATGTTAATCATCATTATTATCAAAAAGTGAAGCTATCGGGTGATCAACTTTCGTATATTTTTGAATAACTCCATCTCTATCCGGTGATCAACTGTGTTTTGTGTATTTTTGAATAACTCCATCCCTTTCGTACACACCAGAAGGAAGAAGTGCATACACACACATCTGATTATATGTTCAAGACAGAGTAGAGTGTATGCAGCTGTATATTCATGAAATTTCGAATGTCAGAGCTTTAAATTGGTGGATGCATATCGGTACAAAGAGTACTCGACTCAGTTTTTTCTTAAGATTCTGTGTAGTCGTTAGTTCTGCAAAAGAGTTCTTCATGCTTTCTTGAGGAGGAAATCTTCCATAGTCAAGTTGTACATTTTCTGCTTGAGAAGTTTAGGCTTTTATCCATCATTTAGTCAGTTGTCTGTACTAAGATTATCGAATTGATGTTGCTGAGATGGTGGGATTTTAGGTGAAGGGGCCTTCTGGAGAACAGATTCATGATCTTCGTGACAAAATAAGCGAGAAGTCTGAGTTTACATCTCATCATGAAGGAATTTATCGTTTCTGTTTCACTAACAAGTCGCCATATCATGAAACCATTGACTTCGATCTACATGCTGCTCACTTTGTATACCATGATGAGCATGCAAAAGATGGTGCGCGTTCTACTTTGGTTTATCGTAAGTGTTGGCTTTATATTAGAGAATTAACTTGATTAGTCTGTGACCTGCAGAGCATTTCAAGCCTTTGTTTGAGCACATCGGAAAGCTAGAGGAAGCTTTGTACAACATTCAGTTTGAGCAGCACTGGTTAGAGGCCCAGACAGACCGTCAAGCAATAGGTATCAATATAATGTGTACTTGTTTCGCTAATGATTTCTTACATGATGCGGCTTCAACTGCCTCAATACTCGTGATTGAAAATCAAATTCCTTACCCTTTAGCTTGCATGTCGTATAGGATAATTTTCCTTTTCTAGTTTCTTCTTTTTGGATGTCTATCTCTTCAGTGTTTAGTATATCAAATTTAAATGCTTGACGGGAAAATCCATGAGTCATGCCTGTGACCCACTTAAAGTTAATTTACGGCAAATGTTAATCAGCTGAGCCACACTGTTCACTTCTTCTCATCAACATGGGCATCCACAAACAATATGACCTTCAAGTTGATGTAAACTGATCCATGTTGTAAGTTAAGCCTATTGAAGCAGTACACTTTTGCAGTTGGTTTCTTGGGATTGACATTATATATCCCGGGTTCAGTGGTTTGAATACTTCACCTTTACAGTGACACGGTAACAATTAGGTTTCCATTGGGTTGCGTCAATGAGGCACAGCAAGAGAATATCATTCCTTCCCATGTATAGATTTTCATCGGGTTGACTCAATGAGAAACAATAAGAGAATATGATTTCATAGTGTATATTACTCCCTCTGTTTCAATTGTTTGTCTGGTTTTGACTTCGCCACGGAGTTTAAGAAAGTAAAGAGACTTTTGAATCTTGTGATCTTAAATTTAAAGATATGTAGAATGTTCCAAAATGTCCTTTAATCTTGTAGTCTTAAACATGTCACGTGGGAAGTTTGAATTTAAAAGTTGCCAAAAAGGGAAAGAAGTAATCTTTTTGAAACGGACTAGAAAGGAAAGTAAGACAAACAAATTGACGTGGAGGGAGTATGTAGTTTGACACTTTCTGCAACTCAAATTTGAACTTCATTATGTGAAAGTAGTCTCCCTAATTTTTGCTAGAATCATGAAATTGTGCATAATCCAATGCTTATTATATTTTTAATATGCTGATGTAATTCCTACTAATGCAGTGAATGAAGGAATGAGCAAGAGAGCAATGTACAAAGCTCTTTTTGAGTCTTCAGCTCTTATTTGTGTTAGTTTTCTACAAGTATTCCTCCTCAAGCATTTGTTTGAACGAAAGCTGGGGCAGTCCAGAGTTTAGTTTTCGGCAAAGGGAGGATAACATTCTTCTGCTCAAGCCCTGTAAACTCAGATGTATTCACTTTTTGTGCCTTTTTTCTGAAGGTTGAATATTGCCACGGAAACTAGAATGACTGATGTCCTTTTCGGAGATTAAGTTATTTCGATACAGTCTTTCAGGAATTAGTGAGAGTTTCCTAATCTATGTTTTAAGATTATCTGCTTGGCATGCAAGTTCTTTCAATGTTCGTGGCGCAGTCCATTGTTGAATTTTGATACCTCAAGTTGTGTAATCATATTTATTTGACACTGACAATTTCTCATTGTAACCTTCATTTTTAGCTGTTTTTGGTATGTCTTGACTCTTGTTTTTCAGATTGTTTCAAAGTGTCTTGGGGAACTGATTAGCAGTAGTTCTGTTTCTTTTATTATATAGCTGATGCTCGGGACAAGTTTGCACGCACTTCTACTAATTCCACATGATACATGTTACCTCTCCCACTAACACAGGTTCTGATAACTCTGTCTGCTGGTGCTTAGACAGATGAGAAGAAATGACCTAATGATTTGTCTATTTTATTTTATTTTTGCAAAATATAAACTTATGACTCTGTTTTAAATTTTAAAAAATTGAAATTGCATACTTGTAAATGATATTCTACCTTTTTGGTGAATTTGGAATTCCAAATTAAACTTTGAAACTGAAGTTGAGAATTTGTTCAAATGTCATAAACAAGCACATATTCAAATTAAAACTTTAAATTTGAAGTCCAAATTACATGGCCAAACGACCCCTTAGGGTCTGAATATATGTAAATAATTAAGATCTATGATAAAATTTATCATTAAGATGCCTACTCAAATTTTTTTATAAAAATGATAATCCATCAAGACTTCCACTTCAACTACCACACAATCGCAATCACCCCAGTAGTAAGTTGTCACCGTCATTAGTCACCATTTCAATCAACACTACCAACCACCGTTACAATCATCAATCACCATCGACAATTACCACCATCAGCCATGACTATACATCACCAATTATTATTATCATTCACCATCACTATCAATTATTACTATCGTTTACCAGCAACTAATACGATCAATAGCCATTTTTAATCAATATTGTCATCTACCATCATCACTAGCAATAAATATGTATTCAGTTAGTAGTTACATCTTTTGTCTGCCATGCGAACAAGAAGGAGATCTTCTGCTACAGAAAGAAACGGAGCTAATGAAATGAGCACTGCATATTCCATCTCTCTGCCAGACTCCTCTGGTTGCTTCAAATACTGGCTGCAGGTAGATGACCCACAGCATCATCTGGCTGGCTGCCTTCATTATTAGGTCCACATATGTTAAAGATGTTGTGGTGCAGCGTATATCAGGGAGATGCCTTATTGTGAGTCCATGGATATGATGAGGTCTCAGAAAACTGTTGGAGAAGTCGTCAATCTGCTACTGAGTTCATCTTCCAGCAAGTGGAGTACAAGCTGGAGTTGCTGAACGTAAATGATCACTGTTAGGATCAGCACTTCTAGCATCTAATACTCCGAGACTTCGATCAGTCCAAGGTAAAAGCAGAGTGACAACCCTTGAAAACAGTGGAAATTCACATTCTTAAAATGTTGTTTGGATACCAAGAAAAGACCAACTTAAAAGAGGAAATATTTTACAAACTGGTTTCAAAATATCTGAAGAATGCAGTCTTCTAAGGAAATTTGAGTCCATAGATGGTTTCCTGATGATACATACATATCATTTCATATGATTTCTACCTTTTTATTTTGAAGGGAGGCGTTGAGAAAGAAGTGACAAGAAAAAGCTTGCTACAAGTAGACATATCAGGTCAATAAACTGTCCAATACCTGATCACCGACACCTAGCAGCAAGGCACTTGATTTCTGAAAGCTATTTCTGACTTCCGTTTCCAACAAATAACCAAGAAGGGTAAAAGATACAATTGAATAGGACTATGATCAACAATTGAAACAATACCTTATCTCTTCTTCAGAAAGTTAGGTGGAGGCAGGATTTGTTCGTATTTTGCCAGAGATTAGTAACTGCATAAACCAAATCATAACAAGAATATTAAGCATACTCCTAGATTCAAAGATGGACAACATTTGTAGCTAAGCTATTGCATCTCGCTGTCATATGGATCATGCTAGTTCTGAACACTGCAAAAGGAACTAAGAAGCTAAAGCATCAGGTAGGTTTCTTCTAGTCAGTAATGCTGAAGTGACTAAGAGAGTTCAAGGGGCACTCTTTTGCCTATTTTTTACAATTCGCCTCCTGACAACTTTATCAGCAGGAATAATGCACATATTGCTTAGGGAAATTAAGCTTACATAGTTTGGATCCTTTCTTTCAGAGACATCTTCCAGTAAACAACTAAACATCAATGGGAACAAAATTTGAGTTAACTGAACTATCGAGATGGCTTACTTTATCCTTCCTACTAATGCTTTTCATCCCAAAAATATTCTGCAGAATTTAATAATAAAAACTATCAATCTCCTACATACAAAGACTATGTATATATCTCCAAGGGTGATGTTAAGAGTAAAGGTTCTCAGAGCTTGCTGATAGCAATTCTCTTATTGATCTTCCATTCCTAGATTTACATGGTCCAATGCAGAGAACTCAAGATTGAGATTAAGGTCAGACAGATTCCTCGTATCAACTGCTTGGGAGGAGTTGAACTTGGAAATGATCCAAATTTTCCAGCCACAACTTGCCTCAGATAACCTGCCAAGCGTGAGCATGATCATGCTAGATTGTAGCAGGTGAATAAGAATGCCAACCAATTAAGGTTTTGAAATCATGTGGCTGAGGGTTGCGGATTTCAGAGAGAAGGTGACATGATGGTGGGAAAGCTAATAAGTGCAGGGCAGACAGTTATTCCAAATGGCAAAAAAGTTGCAGTTTCTGAGGGAACATCAAAAGATGGAGCATGGAAATCTTATGAAGGTCGAGACGAAAAAAGAGGTACTTAATATATGAATTGGAGGAGCCAGAGCTATGTTGCTCAACTGCTTGAGAGGAATTGAGCCTGGAAATGATCCAAATCCTCCAACTCAGACTTGCCTCAGATCACCTGCCAAGCGTGAGCATGATATGCTGGATTGTAGCAGGTGAAGAAGAATGCCAACCCATTAAAGTTTTGAAAACATGTGGCTGAGGGCCGGCAGATTTCAGAGAGAAGGTGACACGGTGGTGGGGAAGCTACCAAATGCAGGGCAGACAGTTATTCGAAATGGCAAAAAAGTTGAAGTTTTTGAGGGAACATCAAAAGATGGAAGCATGGAAGCCTTATGAAGGTCGAGACAAAAAAGGGGTACTTAATCCATGAATTGAAAGAGCCAGAGCTATGTTGCTCAGATCCTTCAAAATCCTTGTCGATCCGACACAATTTGGGTGTGGATGTGGGATCCAAACCAGATTTGGTCAAACCTAACTTGGGTGCTTTAACTATACCTTTGCCTAAGAAGTATAGGTTGATAATTGATTGAGTATTTAGTTTGATTTTGGGTTTATGTCATATATATATTCACATAAAGCACTAGATTACTTTGCTACTATACGAGAGAAATATTTGAATAAAATATTAAGAGCTTACAAAGAATTTAATTATACTAGCTTTAATTTAATAACTTCATTTAATTGTCAAGCATACACTTATATATGTTAGAATACACATTTATTAGTTATAGCCCAACGCCCGTACCCATACTCCTATCCATAACACAAGATGTTACGTAGATTTCTCATATTAAGTGAATCAAAAACATGGCAACAAACATCCATAACGTATCCAGGATGGAAGGCAAGATAAAAGGCATATTTGCAAAAATCTATCCACCATGGGGATCAATAAAAAACATAGATCATTAGGATATTGTCTTTTCCATAGTCTCATGTTGAAAAAATGCAGAAATACAAGTATAAAGGTACCCATGCAGGTACTACAACCGCTAGCAGAAGCAATCATATGTAAATCCACTTCACCTGAGAGTTTGTAAGAATGCAAGCTACGGTGGGAAGTTGTTTCTGCCCTAACCACTAGCTTTCACTCACTATTATCTCATTCTTAACATTCACTATCCACATAATTCATCCTTGTATGTTGAGGTTAAAGTTTTATCTCACTTGGCCAAGCTAGAGGATTTTTTCAACATACTGCTTCTCTTCATTTTTTTTTATATAAGGTAAATACAAACATCCTGCTCTTAACCATAGCATACTTACTGAAATTGAGGAAAAAAGACATGCAAGGGATATACACACTTACATATTGAAGAAACAAGCTTCGGTGTGATTTGCGACACTTCAATCTAGTGGTCTTGATAGATAACGAAATGCACTTCAATGTAGAGCACATAAGCTGCAGAAGTAAAGAGTCCAAACATAAAGGCCCAGCAATATCAACCAGAAACAAACTAATTGACCAGACTGAAGATGAAGCTTACTAGATAGACCTGGTGCATCAAACAGAATAAACAAACCAAGAAATGTCATATACCTATTCAGACAGATCAGTGTCAGATACACAGTTGACCACTTTGTGAGCTGCAATATCCTCATATCCACCTTGTAGGACAGATATCTTAAAAGGACACCGAACATAGAAATACACTTCAAATGGTAGAAGTGTCCAAAGTTCCAGTTGCAGATGTCTCAGATAGACCTGATCTAAACCATTGAAGCCCAGTTTAAGCCATGAGACCCCTATGAAGAGATCATTTCCAGCAAGCTAGATAAATGTTCCCAGTGTTATCTTTCTATATCAATATACTTATCTTTTTTTCTTTTTCTTCTTTCTTAAAGCATTTAGCTTTTCCTTCACGATTGTCAATCTTTCACATAATGCTTGGTTATTTGAATATTCACCTACCAGTCCTCTCTCTTGCAGATCATTTAAAAGATTTTCACCCTTTGCAAGATCATTCCCAGAACAAAATGCATTGAGAAGAACCGTGAAGGTTGTAATATTGGGACACATACCCCTCTCTTTCAGCTCCTCATAGAGATCATATGCATCATCAATATAACCACCGGCACAAAGGCCTGTTATGAGGACATTGTAAGCAATAACATCTGGCTTTGCACCATGAAGCTCCATTGTAGTTTTCAATTTTAAGGCCTCATAAAACTTAGAACTTTTGCAAAGTCCATGCATCACAGTTGTAAATGTGGCAACAGTCGGAAGTAGATGCACCCGTAGCATACATTCAAGTACCAGCATTGCTTCCTCCATCTTCCCACGAAGCACAAGCCCTCTTATAATTGCACCCTCAGCTATAGTACGAGAGCTAACACCTAATAATTCCATTTCATCTTTTAGTTTGAATGCTCCCTTAACATCTCCAACCTTACACATACTAGTGATTAAATTGCAGTATTGTCTGTCAACTGGAACAAAACCCTCTTCGATCATTTTATGCAAGAGACGATGTGAATTTTGGAAGTCCAATGTTCTTTTCAGTCCCTTAAATATTGAATTGTAAGTGTCTCCATCAGGAGAAACACCTGAGGCAGTCATTAAAGAAAGAAGATCAAGGGCCTTCTTCATCTCACCCCTTTCACAATATTTACTGATGATCATGTTGAATGTGAATTTATCTGCCACTATTCCCCCCAAGATCATTTTTATCATAAATTTAACCCCAATATCCAGCAGACTGGACTCACAGAATCCAAGAGTCACATAATGGCATGTTAATTTATCTGGAGTGAAACCTTTTTCTCTAAGAGACTGATATAACTTAGAGCACTCAGATATGTTCTTCTGTCTCGAATAGCCTCGTAATAGAATATTATATGTAGCCAAGGAAGGCATTTCACTTCTCTCTCTCATTGTATAAAAGAAACTACTCACCTTATCAATCTGTCCATGTTTTGAGTAACCATCCATCACTACATTCAGTGCCACGGTATCTGGGGCAAGACCTTTCCATGTCATCTCATCAATGAAGAAACTGGCAACCTTAGGCAAGCCACTCTTGAAAAGCCCATCAATAATACATGTATACATGACCCGGTTTGAAGAGGGGTCTCCTCTACTCAATGCTCTTTCCAACATAAGAATTGCAGGGACCAACTTATCCTTCCGACACAAGCCAGCTAGGAGACTGGTGTAGGTATGACTATCAGGGAGCACATTAATCTGAACCATCTCATTGATAAGGATTAATGCCATGTGGAAGTGACCTAACTTACAGATCTCAGCCAGCAATGAGTTGTAGACAACAACATCTGTCGCACAGTAAATTCCACGGAGCCTATCAAATAATCCAAGCGCCTCTGTAAGGTTCCCTCCTCTGCATATTCCTTTTAGTAAGCTTGCATAGGTGTAAAAGCTAGGCTGTCTACCCAAGTTAATCATTTCGTCAAACCAGGATAATGCTTTTAACCCTTCACCTACATTCCCATAGCAATCAATAACAGAAGTAAAAGCAGCAGAATTGGGAACAAGACCAATCGTACACATGTGACGCATGAAATCCTCTGCCTCTCTTACTCTTCCACCTGTACAAAGAGAAGATATCAGTGAGTTGCATATGAAAGTGTCAGGAGTATGGCCTGTTTTGTGCATCATTGCATAGATTCTCATTGCTTTTAGGACATCTTGTTGCTTGCAAAAGTTGTAGATCAAAGTAGAGTATACTACATCATTTGGGAAAACTCCAAACTTGTACATCCTACATAATATTTCCATTGCTGTATTTAGCATTCCAGCTTTACAAAATCCATTTAGAAGTACCGAGTATGCAACAACATCAAGACATATACCACTCTCAAACATATTCTCAAGTAACGGTACAACTTCTCCTAGCGACCCCGTTTTGCATATCCCTTCTAATAACATTGTATATGCATGCTGATTGAGAGATAATCTGTTCAGCTTCATCTTCTTGAGGATATCTCTTGCAGAATCCAACATGCCATGCTTGCAAAAACCATTCAAGAGAGCCCCATAACTAACTTCATCAGGCCGTAGACCTCTTGTTTCCATTTCAGTCAGTATTTCTTGAGCCTCTTTAAGATTGCCTGCTCGACATTGCCCATCAATCAAAGCATTGAAAGTGATACAATTTGGTGAAAGATTGAGCTTCAACATCTCATGAAAAATCTTCATTGCAGCGTCAATCTTCCCCTCTTTCACAAACCCATTAATAAGAGTATTATAGGTAATATGATTTGGAACAATCAATCTCTTCCTCATCTTCCTCAATACTAAATAGCCCTTAGCACTCCTATTCTTCCTGCATAAGTCATCTATAAACATATTGTAAGTACAAACATCAGCTTCAAGACCCTTGGAATTCATGCAATCAATCAGTTCTAAAGCTGCTTTATACCTTCCCTTCTTGCAATACCAATTAAGCAAAGTATTATAAGTAACCAAATCAGGGTTATAACCACTCTCTACCATCTTTGCAAGCAAACAATTTGCTCTCTCAACCTTCCCTTTGGCACAAAGAACTTGTAAAAGTATATTAAACGTACCAACATTGGGACAAATACGTTTAGCAAGCATTTCTTTGAAAAACGACCATACGGACTCAGCACTTTCCTGCTTCCCCATTGCTGCTAGAACCATATTACAAGTGTAAACCGACGGTTTAAATGCTTGAGAACTCATCAAATTAAATACCTGAAGAGCATCTTTAAGTTCACCTTTTCTCACATAAACCCTAATTAAGATATCAAAAACAGAAGGGTTTGAACTGCAGAGGCGATATGTATCCATAAGAGCACCAAAAATAGAACTTGACCCAACACCCATGTCAGCTAAATGCCCCAAAATTGACTTAACATAGTCATGCATTCTAGCTCTAACGAGTATGTGAGTCGTGATACCATATATATGAATAATATGAGTGAACTGCAAACCAGGTTGCTTAATAAACCAATTCAAGAATTTTAAAGCCATTTTCCCATGAACTGGCCTTAGTGAAGCCATTTTATACCCCATATGATTGAGTGAACCCCAACGGTCCAGGGTAAGAAGAGAGTAAATGCTCTTCTCCACTTCTTCACCTGTTCACATATATTTAAAAAAAAAAAACTTCAAAAACACATAGATGAAACTGGACGATTTCTTGTTATTTGCCTAAACCTTGATAAAGGAAAGTAAGAAAGAAAGAGAGAGGGAGGAAGAGTACTTGCTGGGTTGGTGCTCACAGGATAATAATTTCGGGGGCGCTTAGTGAACCCCATTTGAGAGAAAGCTCCGGCTCTGAACTGTGGACGCATAGCAGCGATGGTTAATTCTGTTTTTTTGTGTGTGTGTGTGTGCTTGGTTACATTCTGTTTTGTGTTGTGAAGGAATTTTACTGACTTGGTCATTGAAGAAGGGTAGAGAAAATGACAGGGATAGAGATTTTTGGGAACTAGGTGTTACGGGTCGGTTTGGATCGATTATTGGTCAAAATTAAAATTAAAATCAAATTAATTTAATCGATTTTAAAATTATCACAATCAAATCAAACCAAATGTAATATATATTAATCGGTTCGGTTGTTATTGATTTCGGTTCGGTTCGATTTGGTTCAATTATTCGGTTATTAACCATAGACAAAAATAAAAAAAATGATTCATTCAAAACGTGAAAAAAGTGACAACAATCCATTCTAAACGAAACATAGTAGAATGACTGACATTACATAACTTTTGATCATTGAATTTACTATGAATAAAGGTTGAAAATTCATTATTTTGGTCTAGAATGAAGATACTAGTGATGACATTTTCAATCCACAAAGAATTACCATAGATACTCGTATAGAATTTTTTTAATGAAAACATATATAAGATCTTTAAAATTGTTTATAAAAATAATATATTATGTATGTATAATAATAAAATATATGTATATAATTTGTCGGTTCTCTTCGGTTATTTCTTTGGTTTTTTTCGAACAAAATCATAACCAATCCAAATACTATCGATTTTTAAAAATCTAAAACCAAATCAAACCAAATACAAATAAAAATCAGTTAATTTAATTGATTTGGTTCGATTTTTTTATTTGGCTCGTTTTTTATTCAAAATGTGAACACCCCGTGTAACACCTCAGATTTGAAAAAGAAGGACAAATGCATTTTTAGACTGGTGTCTGTGTCTACGAGTACCATCTACGGACTGTAGAAGCTTCAACAGGTCGTAGATGGCAACCGCAGGAATTGGGGAAAATAAAATTTTAAATCAAACCCTCAGTATCCTTTTTACGGTTCACCAAGACGGTCCGTCAACCTATGTATGAGTCGTAGGCAGGTCTCGTAGGTGATTCCCAGACTTAGTGAAATTTTAAGGATTAAAGTTGGATTTCTAGGTATGTACGATCTGTAGGAAGACCTACGAGTCGTATATAGGGTTCCGTCAAAAGTGGTCTATATAAAAGGTTTTTGAAACTTTCTACGGTTGACCAGTACAGTTTGTAGGTCCAAACCGTAGGTCGAGTACAACAGTTATTTCAAAGGGGTTTTTGGGTCTTTTCCTAATTATTTTAACCCAATATTATGTTGTTTTACCTTCTAACCTAAGCCGTATATAAAGGTATTAAACCCCCAAATTGCCCATTCTAAATCATTCTTCAAAATTCTCAAATTCCCTCCAAGTTCTTCCCCCAAATTTCTCTCTCTAAAGGTAAGAAAGAAGAATCTAGGGTTTCAAGATCAAGTCTCCAATTCACCATTTTTCTTGGGCTTAAAGAAACAAGGTATGTTAGTGTAATATTCCAAAAATTTCTAAATTAAGGCTCGAGTCATTCTTTACGGTGAATAATATTTGTACCGAGTGATTTTAAATTGTCTTAGTTATTAAGGTCGCTAAAATTCTCTAGCATAAGGTTGAGTTGGAAACTTTCGTTCCAATTGAGTTTCTCTATGAGATTATTCTTGGGTCAACTTCAAACGACTATAACTTTCAGCACAGAATGAGATAGGTGGCCCATGAGGTATCAAATTGAAAGTCTTCGAGTTCTCTTTCTAACGCCGCCGAGTTTGCTGAATTCTGAGTTCGGATGAATGAGTTATGTCCATTTGAGTGCAGCCTCTCTAATTTAGGCAATATTCATCCATTTTAAGAGGGATATTTTGGTCTTTTCCTTACCCCACTAGCCTAACACATTCTAACCACCCAAGTTAAGGGGTTTAATCATACTAAGTCAATTCTAAACATTCCAAAAGAGCTTAAAAGATTAGGGCAAAGTTGAAGAGGAGAAAAAGAAGAAAGTTTCAAACGTTCATCGAGTTTTGAGGATTTTCGCCAAGAACTTAGTTTCTTCCGAGGTATGTAAGCTTTCATAGTGTTGGGTTTGTTCGCCCTCACGCCAATCATGTAAACTTTTACCATGGATTCATTCTTGAAGTCGAATTATTAAATTCTAGAGAAGTTCTTGAGGTTTTTGCTTCATTCTTTAACAATGGAATCTTGTTGAGTTCTTGAGGTGAGGGTTTTGCGAATGAGTGTTGTTCTTGATGGATTTTGTGTGGATTTTCATTGGAATGGTATTTGGTTTATGAATCTAAGAGAATTTGGAGGAAATCATTCGATTGTAGAGGAGATAGGGCTGGAAATTGAGATAGAAAGTTCGTCGGGTTTCTGGGCTCGGGCTGGGGCAACGCGCCCCCATATCACTTGAGGGGCTGGGGCAGCGCGCCACAAAATAGTTTCGGTAATAAGAGGCCTGGAGCCCTGCGTCAGCAATGCACTAGGGTCGTCAAGCTCATTTCTCCTCCGTTCTTCATCCCGTGTGTGTTCTTTCCAATCGTTTCTTTGCTCTCTTCTTGACATTAACTATTTAAGTCTTCATTAATTATCGAGAGATTCTACATATCCGAATAATATCTCTTAAATTACACTTCAAATTAAAGAGAGATTAAGAGGAAAGTTCTAGAGGGTCCTTTGAGTCAAATTGAGGTTTCTTTTGAAATTGATTATAGTTTCGAACCAAGTCTTAAGAAGAGTTGTATTCATGAGTTTCTATATGGTTATTGAGGTCCTCAAGTTGAGTCGTTCATGTCCATAATTCCACATGAACCCTACGAATTGAGTTATAAGTCTTGAGAGTCTTTGAAAGCCAATCATTGTGTTTCAAACTGAGTTTCGAGAAAAAGTTTAAAGGTTCTATTTCATAAAGACTTAAGAGTTTCTAATGTTATGTTATTCCTATATATATATATATATATATATATATATATATTAAACATGTCTCATGTTTTGAAAAATATTTCAAGTAATGTAAGAAGTCTATTTTTTATAATGGGTGAATTGAGCACAAAGTTATATTAATTATTTTGGGAGTAGTATCGAGCACCAAGTTGGGATAGAGTCTTTTATGATTCGGAAGTCCCACAAAACTACGTAGCTAGCGTAGGATAGGCTAACATTGATTCTTCATGTGACTCTACCTACCTCTGAGAAGGCCAATTAGATGGATCTATTGTCACGATATCATCATATACCCCCGACAAAGTATAAGATGGCCCTGGCAATGTGAGGCGAAACGTTATATCATTGCTAGGCTCATGCTAATGGTTGTCGGTTAGAGAAATTCCCCACAAGTAAAATATATTATTTTCATATTGCTTTCATTGTATATCTTATTGTAAAGCTTAAATGGTTTTCACTTCATATTCATGTATTGATCCAATTATGTTGTTTTGTATTGAGTTGAGTTGAGATGAGTATTTCTTCCAGCCTTGTCAGTTCAGTTAGCTATTGCTTTTAGTTTTTCCCTTACATACTCGTACATTCAATGTACTGATGTCATTCGACCTGCATCGGTTTATGATGTAGATACAGGTGCTCAGGATCATTAACATGCGTTTTGTTGAGATCAATATTTACTCACAGATAGTATTTGGTGAGGCCTCCTTACTTTCGGGAGACTCTATTTTCATCCAGCTTAGTAGTATTGGAGGTATCATGGGTCTTGTCCCGCATCTATCTTACATTGTTAGAGGCTTCATGGACAGACTAAATTAGATGTTTCTATTATTTTCTCAGGATGCTTTATTTAACTTATGATTCATGTTAAGTATTTTTACAAGAGTATTTTTAAGACTTTCTTAAATGTCTAAGTGTTCACTTATTTTAAGCTTTCGCGTATTGTTTAGTGTCATGTAAGTCATGCATGTATCCAGACCAAGGGTTCGCTTGGGAATCAGAAATGGTTTATGAGTGCCAGTTACGTTTATGGTGTAGGCCCGAATAGTGACAGTTAGTATTCACCTATGGAGTCATTTTCTTCACTGGATTCTTAAATTCTCCAATTTTACAAAGCTAGATTACCCAATCAAGGTTAGGGTTTTATTCAGTGTTCGTGGTCTTTATGCAATCTTGATCAGATTGATTGTTTTCTATCCATTTATGCATGTATTGAAGTAATTACATGTTTTGGAGTTAAATTCATATGAACTCATGCATGCCCCATGAATTTTAGACTATGAGCATATGATTAAGTTTATGAATTATGAATTATGAAGTTATGAAGATATGCATGTTCTTTCTATGAAATTGATATGAATGATTAAGGTTGCTTTGAGAGTAAAGCATCAATGTTGTTATTGTGAAAGGTTATTCTCACATGAAGGATTCATGATAGGGTTGAAAGGTTTTCTCAACCAAGTTTGAATCAAGATTTAGGAGTTATTCTAAATGAACTCTAGGATGGATTGGTTACTTGATTGTGCATTTCCATGGATAATAAGATGAATATGATTAATGACTACTTCTTGATATTTATGCTTAACACAGAGTGGACTAGCGGCGATTGCCCATGTCCCATAACTATGTGTCACCATAGGTTTGTCTTAAATAGACATTAGCTAGTGGATCCACTTTAGCTCAAGTTTATGGTTCTTACCTTGGCAAGTCAAGACATCTCTTTTCGGTGTGGGATAAACATAAGATTTCATATTATAGCTCACATGGTCTATGTCGGATAATGACACATGGTCTATGTTGGTTAATGACAAACTTCCCACAATAATGAACTAAGATTACTTAATAAAAGTATCTCACGTGTGTTTTAAAGATGTTTAGTTTGCATTGACCATGATTATGACTTATGTTTCCTAACATGTTATTTTATAATTTAGCTTGGTTATTGCATGTCATGTAAAGTCCTTCTTAGAATGATTTCATAACTCTTATGCATTGCTATCATGCTTGGTATATTCCATGTACTAATGCATACTTGTGCCTACATTGTTTCACTAATGTAGGGTCCGACACTCCAATTCCGCACACTCGTGGCTAGTTGATCGATCCTTTTGAGCTTTTGGAGATTGGTGAGTCCTCATGTTTCGAGGATCGAGACTCTTTATTGCTTTATGTCATTTTCGTTTCAGACTTGTATGTGATGTATGGATTACGTCCCAATCACTTTTTGTATGATGTATTAGATGGCTTTGAGACTTATATTAGACTTTCACTTTTTTTGTCAAACTCTTTATGATATAAGATTGTCTTTTTGAATTCTTTAAATTCTATTATCTTGTATGATGTATGTTAAGTGACTTGTGTAGGACCTCTCGGGGTTCTATATGTCATGTTACACCTAGGGTATACTTTGAGTCGTAACACCCCCTGTTGGAACAACTCAAAAAGTCTAATTTTTTTTAATAATTAGGTGCAATTAATTTATATAGCCAAAAATATTAGATGTTTGGTGTTGTTGCAACTTCCTGAATGTGAAGATTTGCATATGGTATTAACTAACATAAAAAGCATCGACCTTTTACACCATTTCTATATGATAGTCTTATTACTTATTTATCTCATTATAATTCAATTAGTGTTTGATTACGAGATAAGTTATCTTAAAATTATAATATAAAAATTCGTTATATATGAATTAGTAATACAAAAGTTATTTTTTGTTGGTTGTTTGATTCATTAAATTAAAATTGAATATGCAAAATATCATATAAAATTTATTTATTAAACTTAAAAGTAATTAGTTTACCATTATGTGCTTGAATTCTCGACCTTTCATGATTTCTCAGAAAAAAAAATAAACATAATTTTATTCTCTTGCTACTTTATCTACGTACAATTTATATCTAAATTAGTTATTCCATATCGTTAATGGTATAAAATAATACACAATTTAAATTACAATCAAACATTAAATAAAATTTATATCATAATTATTTTACTTATATATTGTACCAATGACCCTTAGAGTCTGTTTGGCATTGCAGTTGGAAGGCTAAAAACACTTATTTTTGAAATAAAAATATATTTTTTTTTTAAAATAAGGGCGTTTGACAAATCAATAAAACTGCTTTTAAATAGAAGCAGAAACAATTTTTCTGATGTTGGAAAGAAGCTAAAAAATTTTGCTTCTTAAAAAAAAAGTAAAAGCAGAAGCAGAAAATTATTTTTTACAAGACCAAAATATCCCTTCTATATTTACATATTTACCTATATATCCCTTATTAATTAATTAGCATATCTCATAACTTTGGTAAAAGATTCATTTAAGAATTTTATTTTTTATATAATATTCTTTTTATTATTTTACGTTTATTATCATTACTTTATATTTGATATTTTTAATTATATTTAAATCATCATATCAATATTATATCAATATTAATCTTTTTTATTTATTACAAAAAATTTAATCAAACATTTATTTTTATTGATTGAAAAATTGAATACGTACATTTTAATTCAATAAAAATAAAACTTTGATTAAATTTTTATAATAGATATTTAAAATGATTTCTATATGTAAAATAATCTTCATATTAAAAGTACATTGATACTTGTCCTTTTTTGTAATTTGGCACTTAAAAACATTTTTTTTAAAAAGATTAGCCAAACACAATTTTTTTTTTATCAAAAACACTTTTCAAATGAATTAACCAAACACAAATTATTATTTTTTTTCAAAAATACTTTTCTGAAAAACTATTTTAAAAAAAGTGTTTCTAAAAATAAGCAGATTTTAGTAGCAATCCCAAACAGACTCTTAATCATAGTCCATATATTAATTACTTTTTGCATCCTAATTTACAAAATTTAAGAAAGAAAATAGTACATTTTTTAAATTTATAGTCATAACATAAATTGGCATAGAGGTTGTTAAGACTTTAAGCTTATCAAGAAGAGATATTGGAAGTTTTACAAATAGTTGAGTGAAGTATTCAGACAATTTCTGATACAATAATGGAAATATGGAATTTTCCGGCGTGTTCCTTCTTCTCCGACCACCATACACATACAATTATGCCCTCGTTGCTTTCAGGTCGGATACTCCATTTTCCCAAGCTCTCTGCAACTTCTTCTTCTGAATCATATTCCAGTAAACAAGTGAAATTTCCAAAGAAAATCAGCCAAAATCCTGCAACTTCTGTTCGCCCTGCAGGTAAACCATCACTGGCAAAAATGTTTACAGAGACTACCATTTGCCCAATTTACACTTTGACAGGTTATCCAAATTAGGCTTATTGCCTGATTTTACAGTCAGTATTTAATCCTCAAGACTAACTTCATGTTTCTGCTTCATGTCAAGATTCTGGCAGTCCCCTAAGGAAAACCCACAAGTTGAATTTGGAAGTTTCTCCTCATAGAGCTGGTAATCTACTCTAGTTTCAACCTTTTAATAAGCTAATGGAATTGTAAAGTTTATTTTGTTTTGCATTTAAGTGACGGCTTTTTTTTTTTGTTTTGTTTTTATTAGTGAATGGTGCAGTTGTTTGTTTATTTGTTCCCATCTGTATCAATATGTCTCGTGTTTGTATTTTACAGTGTCTGCGGTTAGATTGATGCGTATAGAGTTTGGTGGTGCATTTGCTGATCTTCTGAACGAGCAAGGGAAGGGTTCAGGGGATAATGAAATGGGATATGTTGAAAGAACTCTTGGGTTTCGTACTCGTGACTTAGACGACAGAGATTTAAGACTGGTTTCTTTCTTTGCCTTCTCTTCACTACCGTGTCATTGATTGTCCTTTGAATTCACTTCTGACAATATCAAAGCACTCGTCTTTATGGATTTCTTGAAATGTTTGTATTGTAGGTCACAGAGGTTGTTGGAGGTACCATTCGCTGGAGAAGATATCTTGATCACTTGATTCTTTCATTATGCCACGATGAGCGGACATTCAGAAGCATGGAACCTCTTCTAGTACAGGTATATTTGCCACTCTTTTTGGATTCTTTACTTTTAGAGCATCTGGTGGAATATATTTTTTGTTGCCATGGTTTGAGTATTGGAGAACGTCTTAAATTGTATCTATTTGAAGTTGATATGTAAGTCAAAAAACAAAGGAGAACTCATGAATTTGACGGTTTTATTGTTAGAGACTCCTTTAAAATAGCATTGATGTGTTATTAAAAGGAAAAAAGAAAAAGAGTAGCATGGCGGAGTTTCTTTGTGAATCAATATTGCATTGGCAAATATGCCTTCTAAGTAATTTTTGAGTTGTGTCAACCATCTAGAACCAAAATTAATGTAAATGAGTGATGATGACAGAATGTAATCTTCGATTTACTATATGTCTTCTTAGTCTTAACAGTGGTTGGTATGCATGTTGGCTGATGAGGTTGTGTCAAGCATAATGTAATTGCGAGAGTTAGAATGTCATTGTGAAAGAATGTTTTGTTTAGTGTGCATTGGTAGGTCATAGTCATCATGGTTATAACTCCAAATAGAGTATACATTACCAGTGCATTTATTTTCTATTTTGAAATAGACAGGGATAAGTTTTTTTTTTTTTAAAATAATCCAAGCAAAATCCACCATGAGGTATATGCTCAATGCTAAAAAAATCACATCTCAGAGGCTGAAATGCTAATGCTATTTGGCGGTCTATCCTATTAATTGGTGCTGACTTTTCAACGATCTTTGAGTTAAACACTTCATCTCTATGGACCTTGACATGCACTGCAGAGCTTGAAATTGATAGGACCACTTGGGAAATTGGATGTGTCGTACCTGAAAGTTTCCTCTTTTCTTGCCTTCTACGTTCTGTCTTTTTAACTTTTGAATTTTGCTTGGTCATTTATAATCCCTCTCAACTGATTTTTTGCTTTAAAAATGTTGTTAGATTCTTCGAATTGGTTTCTATGAGATCACCAAGTTAGACATGCCACCTTATGCTGTTGTAGATGAGGTATGTTTATCTTATTACTTTGGTCTATAATGGTTGTTCTCTTTTTACTAAGTTATTTGATGAAAGCTGATTTGAAGTCTGTCAAGAAAGATGGATGTGATTTTATATTCTGTTGAACCTAGAAATGAAGCTGATGGTATAACAAGGTAATGCCTTTGAGCTTTCAATAGAGCCTTTGCTTGCCATATTTTTGAATGAAGTGAGGGAAAAGGAAAGATAAGATGCTTGATGACAGGTGAGGTTGGTCTAGATGCAAGAGCACTCCACTTTCAATCAGTAGGTTAGAAGTTCGAGTTACAAGAGGAGAAAATTGGAAAAAAACCACTATTGACCCCTGTGCTGGGGGTGGTGGGGGATGGGGGTTCACCATGAAAAAAAAAGATGCTTGATATTTTGGCAGTCTTTCCTTATCTCTTACGCTAGAGACAAATTACTATACAGCCAGCAGCTTACACCTGCTTTTTTCTATTTAAATTGGATATTTGGTGCTACATTAGGAAATGACTCATGAGTAAAATTTAAATTTCAGTAGCATCCATTTGAACATCCTAGAATGAAAAAGGATAAATTCATAACATCATTTGTGCACCTCGTATCTCTTTGAAAATAAACATTATCTCTTTTTTGTTTAATTTGATAAATGAGGTAAACATTTCTTTTATGCAAAGTAATGTAAGTGTACCCTTTTTGGATGTTTAAATCTAACTGCAGAGTGTAAGGCTCGCAAAAGTTGCTCTTAGACCAGGTGCCGGTAACTTGGTTAATGGGATTCTCAGGAAACTAGCAGTCCTTAAGGTATGTCTTCTATGTTTCCTTCAGCATATAGGCTCTGACAATAAGGAATCTACTGGTTCCCTGATTCTTTTCATGTCTGCAGGAGAGTGATTCCCTTCCGGCAGTGGAAGTGGATGGTGATGATCGTCAGCAAGCACGTGGTCTTGCAACTCTTTACTCTCATCCAGTTGTACGGTTGAACTGTTTCTTCTTTAAATCTTTTGTCTTAGAGAATCCAGGTCTGATATTATAGCAACATGTCCCGTACACCCATGGTTGTGTCAAATAGATTTTCTAGAGTTATATTTTGGAAATTTTATTTTTTCATTGCTATATATTTCTTTATCCGTACCGTGAGATTCTCTTATGATTTATCACTCTGATTGGAGATAAAATAATGCTTGGGTTAAATCCTGTGGGCTGTGGATATAGCTTAAGTTCTAGCTTCTTTGTAAGAACTTGTCAAAATGACCCTCATTTTGTTGCACGCTTCGGGAATTTTCATGATACTCCAATTATATGGTAATCATATCAGACATCTTTTCACTTTGCTTTAAAATGTCACAGATTATAGTATGCTAGGCATAAACAAACAGTACTAAAATTCGTATGACTATCTTTTCACATCTCTTAATCTTTCATCTATTTATTGTTTTCCTATGTTTACTAGTGGATGGTAAGAAGATGGACAAAGTATTTTGGACAAGACACAGCTATTAAGCTTATGACATGGAATAACAGCTATCCCAGTTTTAGTCTAAGGTATATGATGAAACTTTTCTTTCCTCTTATACCCTTTTTCTGATGATAGTGTGACTGTTCTGTGTTCAAATCATGTTAACAAAACTAGGGCAAATACTGGGAAAGGTTTGACAGGGGCTGATCTCGTCTCAAGGCTTAAAATGTTGAAGGTAAGATTTAGATGCCGTTCGTTCCTTGCTGATAATAAAATCTTAGGATCACTTCTAGACTCTCTCTCTCTTGTACCTTATTCAAACTCTAAGTTCTGAATGTCTAGTTGACCAAAGAGAGGCAAATTGATATCATCCATCACTAGTCAAGATTTAAGGAGTTAAATAGAAGTCCATAATAATGGAGTCTTCTTCTGCTTTTTGACAAAATAGGATGAGTGTCCTAAACACTAATTGAGACCAACATATTAAATTTTCTGAATTATGCTGCAATATTCTGCATTTGTTTCGTGTATTACTATGATTCATTGTGTTTCCTTTCTTCAACTTCAGGTCCCACATGAGCCTTCTCTATACTTGGATGATTTTGTACGTCTAAAAACTGGAATGCAGGTATGATCAAAAGCTTGATAAGATCTTCAAAGTGTGTTTACTATATGTAGTTATGTACATATTTATGACATTGATATAGATTTTTCTATGTTGATATGTCACTTCATTAGTGATCGGCATTTAGTTACTTATCAAGAAAGAGACCAGAATGTGTGTCCGTTACTTTTTAGTTCTCAAAATTACCATAGAGACTTGATTTAAAGGTAGTGTCAACTGTTGTCTCGTGAGGGATAACCTAGTGCAAAGGATCCTTCACCTCTAAGGCTCTAACAAAGAGGTTGGGGGTTTGATTCACCAAAGGAGCAAGTTGGGAAAAGGACCACCATTGACTCTTGAGTGGAGGGGTTTGTCAGGTGGGGTTTACCAGATCAAAGAAATAGAAAAGCTAGTCTCAACTGTTTCTGCTATGGTACTGATTCTTGTTATGGACAAAGTAGCTGGAAAAAATGGAGAGACGAAATCACTTACTTAATGTAGAGTTGTAGATGATATCAAATAATGTTGATCGGAAGTATTCTCATGTATATTTATGTCTTTTAAAAGTTTGACCTGGTTTTAAATTTAGCTGCGTATACGCAACTGATGTGTTTTGCAGCTCAGTTGACTTTTTAAAGTTTCTTTCAGAATGTTATACAGGCTGGATTACTAAAAGAAGGCTTCTGTGCAGTCCAGGATGAAAGTGCCGGTAATCTCCTTATAGAGCTCAAAATGTGTAGTTGAGTATGTTGCAAGAGATTCCTTGCATTTTCAGTTATCCCTTGACCCTGTCTTTGCATACAACTATTCTTTCGGCGGGCAGGGGGGTGGACGTGGCTGGGTTAATTCCAGTTTAACAAAGCTTTGTAAACACAGTTGTTTTCATATGCTCTCCCAATCAACATGATCAAGGAAGGAGATTCGCTATTTGTTTTGGTTACTTGGCGCATTCACATGTCTATATTCCAAGGATCATAATCTAGAAATTTGAGCTATTCCTCACAGGGATGTTCAAAGTTCAAACATCAATTAACCGTATTACATATTATCGCGAAGAAAAAGAAAATTCCCTCTTTGCCCCCCATTTGTTAGTAATTTCTATTATTATTTGCTTAATTTGAGGGTGTCTCCACTTCCTTCTACAAGTTCTATACAGTGGCAACTAGTGTCCAGTTACTGAAAAAATGGATTGGCATTTTGTTGGTCGTTGACTTGTATATCATTTTACAAATGTGATGGCCTCATTGAGATAATGCATTTGTTGATACTTGAGTTTGAAACCTGTAAAAATATCATAGATAGTGAAAAATGATTTGAGTTCATTGTCATAACAACCCTAATTACTGCAGGATTAGTAGTCTCTATTGTTGATCCACAACCTGGTGAGAACATTATTGATTGTTGTGCTGCTCCAGGAGGGAAAACCTTGTTCATGGCATCCCGTTTGAATGGCCAAGGTAACCTTCATACAAACTTTGCTCATCAGAGCTGACGTCTGAAAGCTTTTAGAGCAGAAATTACATGGAAATGTCCTTTAACATATTTTGGGAGCTAATTAAAGGAAAGATCTGTTCTCACAGGAGAATAGCACATGCAGAATTTAAATTTGTGTATTCAATAATGAAATAAAACATAGGTAGAAAAGCCTATCCTGGAAAAGTAGACAATCATGGTGTTTGGTATACAAGCAACATATTCCCTTGTCCATCACTACAACAACAACTAACCTCAGTCCCAAACAAGTCGGTTCCATCAGTAACTGCATTTATATATTGTTGTCTAAAAGTTACTCAATCAAAAGGTAACAGGTCCAATGCCTGGTATATCTATTTTTTTCTTTTGAGAGTTTCAGAATCAAGAGGGCTGGTCATATTTTTTGTTTACAACTGGATAGACTCTGTTTTTACTATTGATAACTGGTCCAATTCGTTGTTAAAGCATGGCATATTGTTAGCATTTTCAGTGACTATTGTTGCATAGTTTTGGCCTGCAATTCTGGTCATTAACCTTTTCTTATGTATTAGAGTTATGTTTGTTGACTCTTTAACACTATACTCTAGTGCTTTACTTGTTTGTCAGGTAAATTATTTGCTGTTGACATAAATGAAGGTCGATTGCGGATACTCAGAGAGACAGCCAAGTTGCACCAAGTTATTGATGTTATCAGTACTATCCATTCTGATCTTCGAACTTTTTCTGTAAGAACTTGTAAGTTCTAACAAAAACACATGGTATTTTATTGTCCATCTGCTAATCCCTGGTTTAACTTTAACAGACGGATAAAGTCGTAGAATGGGATAAAGTTTTACTGGATGCACCTTGTTCAGGGCTTGGTGTTCTTTCAAAGGTATTTCCATTCAAAGATGTATACAATTTTATAGTTTGATATAAGCTTGCATGGTCTAAAAGTTTTGGTCCTTTATTCCTCTTTCTTCTTTTGTCACATTCACTATTCTTGCTAGTTGCTTCTATGGTTCATCCTTCTTTAAGCCAGAAGTGGTAGTATAGCTGGGACATTTGAAATGTGAATTTCCTCTTTGTTTTGAGAAAGCGAGCAGATTTGCGTTGGAATAGGAGACTGGAAGACATGGAGCAACTTAAACATTTACAGGATGAGCTTCTCGATTCAGCTTCCAGGTAAAACCAATAGTTCTTCTTTATTCATAATTTAAGTGTAACCTTGACCTGAATTATTGTTGCTAGTGAATTTCATCTTTTAGAAATATATTGAGTAGCTTTTTCCTAGTAATGTTGGTGACTGGTGAGGATAATGCAAGTTCTGAAGTGGATAAAAACAAGGCGCATATCTTTATAAAGATTTCTCCTACTGAGGAAAAGAGAGTTGGAAAATGAGATGAATACTCTGGGTTGGTATTAGTTATAACTCAATTTGCCCGCTTTATTAAGTCAAGGCTGGTTAAATTTTTGACTGTAATTACATGTACTTCAGTCTGAAATGCCTCTAGGTTATATGCATTATGTTTGAGCTACTATATTTACACATGAACATATGAGGTTCTGTTCTTTGTTTCCTTTCTCCTTATGTGTTTTTTCTGCATCTGCAGGTTGGTGAAGCCAGGTGGAGTGCTAATATACAGCACATGTTCCATTGACCCTGAAGAGAATGAGGAAAGAATTGAAGCTTTTCTCTTAAGGCATCCAGTAAGAAACTTGATTGAAGCATGCTAATTGCTCCGTCTTTCAGTTTTAAAGTTGCTTCTTTCATAAAAATCAGCTGCAGCATATATATTATGCTAAATAACCGTGTCAGGCATTAAGAAGTGAGGACTTGCTTCCTGTTGAGGCTGTGGTGAATGGGACTATATGCTTTATGTAAAAAACATGTCTATATTTGTTAAATAACTTTCACCCAATGGAAAACAGACGAAATATTGAGGAAAAAAGTGAAAGTGAAGAAGCTGACGTGTCTGAAATATCTAAGAAACTGCTAGCGTCAACCGTACTCTAGCATTTTGCTTCCATATATATTTTCTTTCATAATTTTGGCGTCTTATCCTGATATTCTCCTGTCCAGATGAATCGTCCCACGTATTCTCTCTGGTTTGGAGATAAATTATCTTCTAGTCTAGTTTCTATACCTGCACATTGGTCTGACTATTACCATCATTTTCCTTGCAGGAATTTTACATTGATCCTGTGAACAAATATGTACCTGAGAATTTTGTTACTAACCGAGGTTTCTGTATGTCTAATCCTGTGAAGCATGAACTTGATGGAGCCTTTGCAGCTCGCCTGGTTAGGTCGCAATAAATCGAGAATGAGGAGCATGTTCCAGTTTTCACAAATTTCTAGTATGTCGTCAAAAAGCATCTTTAGTACAAGGGGCTCTTTTTCACAGATAACTTGCTTTTATGCCTTTCCTTTCAGCATGAGAGTCCAGACCGTCTCTTGTCACAGGTAGAGTGGGTCATCAGTTTAATATTCATGAACTCCTGATTGACTTACTTCTTCTGTAAAGCATTAATTGTTTGTGTCAAATAAATGCATTGTTGAATTGTATGACCAACTCATAAAACTCAAGGTGTTACTTGTTAGAGAGAAACTTGAACCCAGGACCTCTAAAAGTAGTAATTAAGGTGTTAGAGAAAACACACTTTTATTTACTTAATTATGTCTTCAACATGCCTAAGCTATAATTTTTTCCTTCAATAATTTCAGGACGGTCATTCAAAGCCTTATATGCAACAATTCAGTCTTCAGGTTTGAGAGTTGAAAGGCCATCATTATACGGTACAGCAACCACTGATACAAGTTATAAGCATACCGCAACAAGATGAAATATCATTTTATATGGCTGCATTGTAGTGCCCAGTTTCTGAAAGATGAGATGCAGAGGCGGCATGCTGTTTGGTCTCGTCCACGAGAATCTGAGGTGTGAAACATCTCAAATGACTCCAAGGTGAGTTCTGAGGCTTTTTTAGAACCTCCCTTGTCTTTATGGGTGTCTCTTCAATTACAAACAGCGTGCCATCTTTGAGTTCCTATTAGCTCAGTTACACTATGGATACTCTAACAAATGTACTATGGCTATCTCATAACGGCTGGATGGATCGTTATAGGTATTTTAATAATTTAAACTTTTAAGTTTAGGGGTTCATCCTTTTAAAGTAATATAAACTAGTCTCACATCACGTACGTGTACATTAAGTTATGCCATTTTGTAAATAATATACCATCTTATTAAAATAAGTTTTGAGTAAATAAATATAATGAATGAATAAAGAACAAGTTTCTACAAATAATCAATGTAGATCGTTGCACAAGTGACTTATTTGTCGATGTCAAGATGTTTGAATTTCATTTGAATCTATGAAGATAAATAATTGTAGTATTATAGATACATATTTTTTTTTTTATACTTCTATTTTTCATTTATGAGGTAAACATTAAATGAAATGTATCGTATATGTGCCTTTCTTCACTAATTATAAGGTGCACACCTCATTTGCACTTTTCTCTATCTAATGACTAATCTAATATTGTTCACCTTAAACTTATAGTATACACACCAAAATTTAAATATAATATCATGCAATAGATGAAAAAACTGAATAATCTCTATACTATTACCAAAATAACTTTATATTTAAATTTGTATACGTCAGAAATCATTACATCATAAGCAATCAACACAATTAATCCATTGAAAATCACCATAAATTTATATGAAATTTCATATTTTTTTCTAACGTCAATCAACAGTAGTGCAAAATTTCACAAAATAAGATTAGTCCGAGAACGTATTGAAATTTAATGTCACTGTGTATTAGAAAATCACATACTACTTTATTTGTATTTTTATTTGACTTTATATAAGTTTGATATTTAAATTATTTAGAAGTGTATGTAAAATTTTCAAAATAGGGGTAAGATTGTGTATAAATCATTTCTTCAGATGTCATTTAAGGAATCATATTGAGTATGTTATTTGTTGTTATTGTAAGTTTTTAACCTTTTTTCGCTCCTATCAATAACTCGTAAATCACACAGAAGAGGTAACCCACATTAGGCAAGTCCGGTATGACGAACTCGATCCAGAAGGCAAACCAATTGAAGGCAAGGGATTTTGAACTTGAGACCATCAACATAAAAGTCTCCAGCCCAAATTAACCACTGGGCCACCCGAAGGGTAAAAAAAGATAAAGTTTTTAACCTTTTATAATAACTATATTATCAAGAAAAGTGCATTCAACTGTTTGCTTATGTTTATTTTTTTCTATCAAAAATCATAATATTGAGGTAATTAAACATGATCATACCTCTTCCAATATATAGAATATAAAAATATCTCTACTTTGTATTCTATCAATTGATTTCAGATTTTTAAAACATTTCATTTTTGTATCTCTTTTCAGTGACTAATTAATATGAAGGCTCAACTAATTTCAAAATTATATCATTCAAAACGAAAAATCAAAGTAAAAGTACATGCAATAATAATTAAGACATTTTAAAAAGATAGTAATATACTTGGAAATAATTATTGACAAGTAAGAACACATTGTTTGAAAATTATATCTAAAATAATACTATACAACATGAGTAATTGGAAAGGAGAGTGTAACACCATTCCTTGGCAATTCAGTGTTTTGGCCACATATGGTGATATTTCATGCATGATCTTGGTTTTGATTTGTATGTATTTGGAATATCAGATATATAGGAGAGTGGTGATCGAGATGGGAGAGAGGCGAGCGGGATTTGTAATTATATATGTATCCCAGATCCATGCGAGTTCTCTTGAATGCAATGTATCTAGGACAAATTACTCCTAATTTTGACTTTATATCTCTCAAGATACATGTATCTAGATGCATCAAAATCTGGTAAGATTTTATAATATTACAAACTAGACTATATCTAAATAATTAGTAAACTAGTGAAATATCAGTAAGTTTCTCTTTAATATAATATATTCATACGTTCATCTTTACTTGTCCACTTATACTATTTGGGATGCCCAGTAATACTTATCTAGTTTATAAAATCAATGAATAATTTATCATTTTGTGTCTATTTTACTCTTGTTATCAACTACTTGTTGTTCATTTTTCAATATTTGGATGACTTCTAATCAACAGGGTGTTATAGTAAATTATCCCTTTATTTATTATTTCTTAAAGAGTGTGTCAAGATCAAACATTGACAAATAAAGATGGACGAATGGAGTAATATATAAATATATTTATTAAGAATAAATTAATAAAAATATCTTTTACTTTCTAGAAATGAGTAATTTTTTTAAGGAGTGTGCACCACTTAGGCCTCATTTATTTTCATTAAGATTAAGACGTCTAAATCTGAATGCATATCTGAATGATTAAGATCTTGTCTGTAGATCCAAACATTCAATGATTAAGACTGTTTGTTTTTATACATCTGAATATATTTATAAAGACATCATCGCCCAATTTTAACAACACATTTATGAAATTGTTTTGTATTTTAATCCAATAAAACTTTTACAATAAGTTTGATCAATTCATGAAAGAAAGAAAAAAGGCAACAAAAACAAAAAATTAAAAATTTAAAGGAAATAATTTGGATAACTAATAAAGTTTGAGAATGAGAGGGGCTTGAATATTTTTTGAAGAAAAAGAATATGGAGCACAATTTATTTTTTCTTTTTCAGAAAGTGTCTTTAAAAAAATTTAAATAAGAATAAGTCTCTCTCACAGATCTGATTCATTGAGACTATTTTAGACTTTTAAAACATACAAATTGAAATGATGAATGAGTAAAAGTATATGTATTTACTGTAACAGTGTGAACATAAATCATAATAACATGAATAATATTATATTAAATAATGTTCATGCAATTATATTACTAGTATATTATATTAGATTAGAGACTATTATAGTTTAAACTTAAGAAAAACGTCTTCTCCCACGTAGAGTCAAAGCAAAATTTGGAGTTTAGAGTCAAGTTTCTTCTTCTTCTTTGAAAATGTAATTAGTAATTACTTTGACAAATCTTACTAGTTGAGATATATATATATTCTATACTATTGGTCTATGGATCTGTTATTAATTTGGACTTAGTAATCATAATATTTTTCGACCAACGAATAATGACCCTTGACTAGAAAATAGAAATTAAAACCACGCTCAAATATTCAAGTCGTTTAGGGTGTTTAGTATAAGCTGCCAAACACACACAAATCTGCATGTCATATTAATTATTACTAGAGAAAAAGGAAAAATATATTCCCAAACTATCGTAAATAGTATACAGATACCCTCCGTCATATTTTTGGGACATTGATGCCCCTGCCGTCAAAAAACTAGAGCATATATGCCTTTCACTCTAACGGAAGACTAAATAGGGACACGTGGCGCAATCTTATCCGATATTTAATAAATGTCGGGTCGATGGATAAGATTATGACACGTGTATGTCCGTTAGTATAAATAAAGGGTATATATGCTTTAGTTTTTGGACAGCAGGGGCACCAATATCCCAAAAGTATGACGGAGGTATCTACATACCATTTACGATAGTTCGGGTTATATTTGTCCTTTTTTTCCCTTATTACGAGTATTATTTTTGGCTGGAAATGAGTTTTAAATTTTAAACAAATGAAAATGGGGTCTAATATAAACTTTCTTGGGTTTCAAGAAAAATGGAAAGTTTAATTTAAACGACTTTAAAAGTCGACATATTTTAGGTTTGATTTGGGTTTTAATTTGAAAAAGTAACAATATATGGTTTGGTTCGTATTTAGGCAAGGTTGAAAACATACATATCGATGTAAGGTAGTTTTTTTTTAAAAAAAACTTATTGTTCATCCCTAATAAATTTATGAAAATAATTTAAGATTAATTATGTGAGTTAAATTGATCTTGCAATGTAATGATATTGAAATAAATAAATCACATAAAAGGAAAGATAAATGAATATTAAAACAATAAAGTGAGTGATTGAATTGCGCATTGAAAATTGAGTGTTGATGGCCTAAGAATCAATTATTCGATCGATACCAAAACCTAGTCCTTTTGAACATGCATGCTATGGTTAGATCTTTAAAATCTATGCATATTCTAAATTTGTTAAGCTTTTTGGGCACATTCTAAATTTGTTAATATTTATTCACCTATTTAGACAATGTGATTTCCCATTGGATAAGGATGCATTGGTAATTAATTAGTAGGTTTGTAATACCATATAGTTGTACAAAAAAAATTTGTAGGCCAATCAGGGGCGAACCTAGAGGTAGTCGAGGGGGTTCACCCAGAGGCGGACCCACCCTATAGGGTGGGCGTTCACGTGCACTCATTAACTTTGGAAAAAATCATGTGTATAGGTGTATATCTATCTTGAGAAACTGACATAAATTAGAATATAATTAAACGTGCACCCATGAGAAGTATACATTTGTCATTGTCTTTGTTGGTACAAACTAGAAGAACCACGCATGAGACATAGGTTTGAATCTAGCTACAATGCTATTTTATTATTTTTATTTTTTAAGTTTATCTTAGAGCTTATATTTGAGCTAAAATAATATTGGTGCACCCGAAGTCTTCAAATCATAAATCTGCCTCTGGGTTCACCCGAACCTATTCGGCAAAAAATCACATTGTATATAAGGTATTTTAAAGAATTTTTATGTCTATATATTGATTTTAAACCCCCTAAATGTAAAATTAGAGGTTGACTTAGTGGTTGAGGTATTCATGCACTCACCTCAAGCAGTGGCGTAGCTACATGTAGTGGCGAATCTAAACCTAAAAAATAGGTCACCGGAACCCGTGGTCTCTTCGTAAAACTAGATATTTTATGTATATATTTTCTAAAATTTGTATATTATTATATTCCTGCACCCGTGCTATAAGAAGTCTATCTGGTCCTCATGGTTAAATGTTGAGTTTTTTACCTTGAGGATGAAGAATCAATTCTCACTTAATTCATTTTTCTTGATGCATCCATGTTCGGATCAATTCCCACTTAATACATTTTTTTGGATGCACCCATATTTGAAAAATCCTAGATTCGCCTCTGGCTACATGGTTGTCAACGTGTCCAATTGGACACCCTTCGTAGGAAAAAAAATATCATATATACAAATAAAATGATACACAAAATGATTAAATAACATATTTTGGACACCCTTAACAGAACAAAGTGTTGTAGCCCAGTGGTTTCATGTAAGGTGGCCCCCATCATCACGTATAACCTAGAAGAAGAAATCAACAAAGTTAAGTTATGGTCAAAATGGACCCTATTACACGCTACCACACCAATTATACGTACTACTTTCTCCAAGGACCTTGTTTAAAACTACTTGCCCCCATGCATCACTTTATTATTATATATAAATACCTACCTTCTTTCATTTATCACACATTCTTTTAATTCATAGCTTAATTACCTTCTTTCATTTCTCACATTCTACTAATTCATTCATTAACCTAATTGATCATATAATTATTCAATAAATATCTACCTTCTTTCATTTATCAGTTATCACACATTCTTTTAATTCATAGCTTAATTACCTTCTTTCATTTCTCACATTCTACTAATTCATTCATTAACCTAATTGATCATATAATTGATATCCATCTTTACGGAGAAAATGTTGGTCCAAATCAATGGTGTTAATAAGATTCATGAGCTTCTTCCGGCGATTAACGATGAACATGGAGGTGTAATTGTGCAAGTTGAGAGTCCTATGGAACCTAATGTCTTTCATGACATGCTTAAACATTCGATAACAAAGTGGAAGATGCAGGTATTAGTTATGTAGAAATTATTTGTTGATTAATTTGTCTTAGTTAGTTATTAGTAGTAATACTTAATAATTACTATATTTATTTTATTTTGCAGGGAAAGAAGGGTGTATGGATTAAAATCCCTATTGAACTTGCAAATTTGGTTGAGATTGCAGTTAAGGTAATTAATTAATTTCTTCAGTATATGTACTTATGTTATCATGGTGTTTGTTTAACGGGCCGGGCTAATGGATCCTCCAAAATAATCACAACAAAAAAATTTACATGTAGCGGCAATTGAGTTGATGTCATTGCATTTAGAGTCGCTAAAGTTTTTAGCTGCATTTATATAAAGTGATGGTTATTATAAATGCTCATATTTATTATTGCTGCTAAATACAATTATATTATTGTTGTTGAATAACTACGGCTAAATCCATTATTTATTATATGGATGTGTTTTTATTGGTGATCAGTGGCGTAACTACATGGTGGTAAGGTGTCCAATTGGACAGTCTTATTTGGAAAAAAATATCATATATACAAATAAAATGATACACGAAATGATTAAATCACATAATTTGAACACTCTTAACACAACAAGTTGTTGTAGCCCAATGGTTTCTGATGCTTGGAATGAGGTAGTGCTCGCATGTTTGAATCTCATTAATTCTACTTTTTGAAAAGAATTTTTATTGTATATTTCTGGACACCCTTTATGAAATTCCTGATTCCGCCCCTGTTGGTGATTCGACACGGGTGCAATAATGCATTTTTGAACAAAAATTAAAATTAATTGTGAAATGTGAACAGGAAGGGTTTCGGTACCATCATGCAGAACCTGATTACTTGATGCTTGTGCATTGGATTGCCGATAGTGAGAGTACTATACCTGCAAATGCCTCACACAAAGTCAGCATTGGTGCTATTGTCCTCAATCACAAAAGAGAGGTTCGTGCTAATTTACGTGTCATATTTTTTTTTAATTAAATTATTCTAAAAATATATACTTGTCATAATATCTTATTTTACTTTTAATGAGACAATTTCTAGTCATCATAAATGTCTCTAATTTGTTATAAACCATAATTTTTTAAAAAAAATCTTTTTGAATTTCATGTCCAATCAAACTTTTTAAAGACATTGTTACAGTAATTTCGATAATAGGTCTAAAATATATCTGGACTTTGACCAAAATTGTTGTAAGAATCCCAAATTTTAGGCAGGACCTATTACCCCCTGCACTATTTAATGTAGTATATTTTAAAGATATATAAGTGTCCAGCTGGACAAGTTACTATTTATAATATTAATACAATATTTATGATGTCATTAATGCAATATTTATGATGTCCACATGGACTCTTATATATCTTTAAAATACACTATTAAATAGTGCATAGGAGAATAAGTCATGTCCAAAGTTTGGATTGTTACAACAATTTTGATCAAAATTCGAATATATTTCGAACCCTTTTCCTAAAATATTATAATAAAAAAAAATCATATAAAATGAAACACAGAAATACATGGCAATTACTTTCTATTTGCATGCATAATTAGACGACTATTTACATGAGAAAAGTATATAATTGTTGTTTTCAGTTGCTTGTTGTGCAAGAGAATATTGGCAGATTAAAGGGAAGTGGTATATGGAAGATCCCTACCGGTACTCTTGAGGAGGTATATTCGTTTTTTAATTGAATCTATTAGATAATTTTTACTCTTATATCCGCTTCAATCTGTTTGATCTATTTTTACTTGATATAGTGTTTAAGAAAATAAAAAATAAAAAATTAAATTTTGTAATTTTAAATTAAAGGTATATCAAATGTATCAGAATATTATTTAATCTTGTGGTATTAAACATGTCACGCAAAAAACTAAAATAAAAGAATTGCAAAAAAAGAAGAGAGTCATTTTAAAAAATAAATGGACTTAGAAGGAAAATAGATCAAATAAATTGATACGCAAAGTAATATATAAGGAGTGAGATTGTCTCATAACGAAAGGTGAAATGAATTTGAAGGCCTAATATATTAATTAAAAGTCTTAGTATTTTCAGATTTTATTTAAAACTTCGAACTTAAATAAACATGTTTGTTCATGAATTAAAATGATTATATATTAAAAATAGCGATATCACTTTCTAACTCTATAAATTAGTCCTTCCTTCGTAAAATAGCTAAGGAAAATTGCATGTATCAAAGTGGCTTTCTTGTATTCTAAAGACAATTATCTTTTATTTAATTAATTTTCCTAAATAATATATGGCAGTATCTCGATAAGATGACTTTGAGGCGTGAAAAAACAACTTTCTTCTTTGATTACATTTTTCTTTTTATCTAACATAAGCTATTTTTCGATTACATTTTTTTATTTGTCACGTATCGTATGTTGAGACGCTTTTCGATCTTGATACATTTTCAGGGTGAGAGTATATTTGAAGGTGCAATAAGGGAGCTAAAAGAAGAAACTGGAGTAAGTATAAACACACTTATATAATTAATGAATTTTAATTATGTAAATCTATACACTATAAATACTCCATTATATTTTTTATGTTACTTATATGTGATTTTTTTTCTCTTATATTAAATTCCAGATTGACACGGAATTTATGGAAGTGCTTGCATTCAGGTAGGAAACTTTTGCCACAAGACTATTTTGAAAATTAAGGAGAAATAATATTTGTCATGGCTAAGACTAAAAAGATTTAACTTTTCATATTTTAAGAAAAAGTCAAAAAGAATATTATTGAGTCATGATCAAATATTGAAATTTAATTACTAACAAGTCAAAAAATAAGATTCAATAAATCAGGTCGACCTTTCAATTTTCATTGTGTACACAAAAAGATTTTACTCCCGGCCATTTTACTTGTCGGTCATACTAAAAATAGATGATTCAAAATAATTGTCATTTTAAAAAAAAATTAAGATATTCAATGTTCTTTATATTTTGTCCGTAGTAATAAATATTCTTGAAATTTAATAAACATTTGACTAATTATCCTACAATATCCAATATTTAAGTGAAAAACACATACATATACTCCAATATTGAGGTTGTTTAAATTAACTCTTTTTTATTTATTAAAAAGATCAGATTAAATTTATTAAATAGATATTAATATTTTAAATTATTAAATATAATAATCAAACATATATATATATATATATGTGAACCAAAAATATAACAAGTAAAATTGTCCGAAGGAAATACTAACTTTTAAATACATCTAACATTTGGGAAACTTTGTGCTGGCTAAATAGGAGACATTGACAATGACCCAAAAAAGACAATGAGTTGGAAGAAATCAAAATTAGAACAATTATAATTGGCATTTGAATATTGTGATACAGGGAATTCTTGACATTAATTTCAATACTATAGAATCATGTGGTCAATATATGAATTTTTTGAGTCATGTTAATTAATTATTTTTTCATGGAAATTTCATTTTTATGCAGGCAAATACCCAAGTCATTTTTTAACAAGTCAGACTTATTCTTCCTTTGCATGATGCGTCCATTATCATTTCACATCCAAAAGCAAGACTTAGAAATTGAGGCCGCTCAGGTAATCTACTATTACATGTTAAAATTTACTTATAGTGATGGATTAAAAATATATTTAAAGAATTTTTATATCTGAACTATCAGATGTGAGAGTTTCATATTTTACCATCACCGAATAATTTTTGAGTTTTGAGTTATTCACTTTTTCTACCTGAAATATATATCACTATTGTTCAGGTAGAAAAAGTGAACAACTGATATATAGTTCATGTAGAAAATTCACACACTGATAATTTAGGTATGAAACTCAAAAAATTAGAATACTTAACGTATGTTGTTAACCCATTTTGACTCTTAAAAAAATCTTCCCTACATTTAGTAACATTATTAATTATTATTTTTGTTTGCAGTGGATGGCATTTGAAGAGTATGCTAATCAACCTTTAATTCAAAAAGATGGTCTTTCAAAGTACATTAGAGATTTATGTTTAGCAAAATCAGAAGGAGATTACCAAGGATTTACTCCAATGACAATAACATCATCAGTCATTGATGATCATATTAGTTCCCTCTATTTTCTTAAGGATGCTCTTCACCAGGATTAATTAATTATAGTACTTCTATTTACCTAATTTGTTATAAATACTAATTATTTAATTTTTGATTTCAATGGCCTATACTCCAAAATAAAGTTGTATCAAATGTATTTTTCGTATACAAAATACAATAAAGAATGTAATTTTTCTTTCTTTTTTTTCAATTTGTTTGTGTCATGTTTTATCTGGCCGCCAACTTTCATTTAAATTTGAAAGGCAAGTAGTACCTCTAGACTCTAGTACTGAACGAAAAGACAAACAAACCATGGAGTATGAGTTTGATTAATTTCTCTGTTTCAATTAAAGCGGTTGACATGAATGCTTCATAGTGACTGACTCAATCTTATTGGAGAGTAATAATGCAAATGCTTTTATGAAAAAAGGTGGACGGCATCGTTTGCCTCTTTAAAGAAGGCAAAGATAAAAAGTAAGCTAAGCATGTTGTTTGTTTGGCTTGCTAACAAATTATCTTCAGCTTAATATATATATATATTTCAAATGAAAAATTTGGAATGTTAAAAAATTTGGAGGATTGGAAAAAAGAAGAAGTTAAAATGACCAATCTAGAGTGAGATAAAGTCCAGAAGTATTTGAAAAAGTGCAAATTAAAATTTGAGTGGGGGACTAATGTACTTTCATTCCAATATAATTCATTAGCCTTAGTTGATCGTGATCAAGAAATTATTGGTTTCACTTGAGTCATTAACGTAATGAAGAGAGGAGTGTGAGAAAAAATATGAAAGAAAAGAAAAACAAAATTAGGTGTCACGACCCAACCCACTGGGCCGCACAGGCATCCACTCTAACACCTAAGTAGAAGAACCCTCATATCCCAATAGTTAAACATGAGAAAAATTTAAAGAAAACATGAATAAGTATAGTAGTATGATTTTATAATTAATATCCTTAGACACACTTTTCAGTTAAAACTTGTAAAATAATTTTAACAACTATCATTGATCTAGTCTAAACAGGTACAAGAGCTACTAAGAGTACAACTGGACAAGATAAATAAAAGACACAGCTCCCACCATGCGTAAGAAAAATAGAAGCTGCTGGAGAATTTCTTCGTCTTCACCTAATGAAACGTCACCAATCATGCATCCAGACTATGCCAAAAGGCATAGCAAGAGTAGTATCAGTACAAACACACGTACTGATAGGCATCATCGGTCAACCCGACGCCCACCCACATAACATATGAAATCAACTAGAAGAAATATACAATAAACCACTCGCTTCTCCACCATTACCCTCTCTTAAAATACCTCCAATTTACACTAGTATTCTGGCTACTAACCACTTCTCAACCAACTTACCTACCGGTTACTTTAATCATGACCTAACCTTCTAACACATTAACAAATCCCCAATTAATCACCACGCTCTAACTCAACTAACCGCTCACGTCGCACCCTTACTTCCCGTCACATTACTCAACCATGGTGACATAGTACACTACATCAAACTTCTTTACCACTAAACCCAAATCTCTTTCCCCAAGGTGAAATCCACCTAAGCACAATTCCTCACCTACACTACCTCTACTTCTCGCCATTACGACACACGAAAACACTTGCTATCCATTACTCGCCCCTTGAACACTTTACCCTTCAACTATACCCAACAAGTTCGCTTAACACAAAGAACAATCAAATATAAGCCGTCATAACCTATACCCATTAAGTGCAACATACATAAGTCAACAACAATATAATCCCATGCATATATCGAACATATACATATTATCAACATTTACGAACAACGAATATCTTTATAGTTCTCCAGCTACACAATTATGCAAATAATTGGTCCTCTCATTAAATTCAAACCCAAACAGTTAGCATACCGAAACGCGGTATCCGATCCAAGGTTTATGTCGGAACGTGGCAACCGATCCAAGTTAGTTATGTCGGAACGTGGCAACTGATCCATTCATCACACCACAATCACAATCACAAGTATATCTTCAAGATCATACAATTAACTCATGATTCATGGCATCCCTCATTCATCTACCTCATTACAACAAGTGTGATCAATAATGCAGCATTCATATACATACATGTATCATAATGAAGCAAGAACAAACATACATCACACAATCATAGAATCACAACCATCACCTACAATGGATTTACTCATCACACACATCATGCAACCCTAATTCGACCATACTCATCCCTAATTCATCGTCTAAGGCTTCTTTCTAGGGTTTAAATCAATAACCATTCGATGCACGAAAACCTACGCATAAATCTTACCATCGATTCACATATATTACGCAGTAAGCACAGATTTAAACTACTCAATTCACAAAATCTATCCTACCTGGAGCCAAGTAGTTACACGGAGTTTTGGTCTTTGATTCATGTTTTCGGAATTCGTGATGGTGATCTTGACCGGAAATTCGCAATCCATTAACATCTTCACGCTACAAATCTCTCTCTCCCTTCTTCCCAACCTTAGAACAGCTTTTCTGAGGTTTCTAGGGTGTTTTACGACTTATTTAGATATTTTAGAAAGATGGAGAAAATAGGATTTCTCGTAATTTACGTTTTGCCTCGCCTATCCCGCCCTGGCGCCAGCTTACCCCGCTCTAGCGCCGCCGCCCTAGCGGCATCTGGCCCGCTATGGCAGGACAATGTCACGACCCGAGAGCACCCCCAAGTCACGCCACGGCGTATTCGACCTCGAAGAGGTCTTATACAAGCCCTTAGCATTCATTCATCACAAGTCAGACTTATTTTTCCTTTGCATGATGCGTCCATTATCATTTCACATCCAAAAGCAAGACTTAGAAATTGAGGCCGCTCAGGTAATCTACTATTACATGTTAAAATTTACTTATAGTGACGGATTAAAAATACATTTAAAGAATTTTTATATCTCAACAATCAGATGTGAGAGTTTCATATTTTACCATCACCGAATATTTTTTGAGTTTTGAGTATTCACTTTTTCTACCTGAAATATATATCACTATTGTTCAAGTAGAAAAAGTGAACAACTGATATATAGTTCATGTAGAAAATTCACACACTGATAATTTAGGTATGAAACTCAAAAAATTAGAATACTTAACGTATGTTGTTAACCCATTTTGACTCTTAAAAAAATCTTCCCTACATTTAGTAACATTATTAATTATTATTTTTGTTTGCAGTGGATGGCATTTGAAGAGTATGCTAATCAACCTTTAATTCAAAAAGATGGTCTTTCAAAGTACATTAGATAGTGCGAAAATAAAACCTTTTTAAAACAAACTCATAAGACTTGAAAGTCAACAACATTTTAAAGAAGTCTTTATACACAAGCAGAATACTAGTCTCACATGGCCAATTTAGACCCAAAACTCCAAGAAACATACTAGGGGCACGCCCCTTTACATTTGACAGAAACTACAAGCCTATTACAAATGTCTTAATAAAAGAAACTAGAATATAGAATCCTTGTCCTCGACATATGAGGACATACCAAAGTCTTGAGAGAAACTCTAATCCCAAGCTTCACTATGGAAAGCACCTCACTTGCCAACACCTACACTTGTAGTAAAACATAGGAAAAGGATGGAGTTAGCACAATTACGTACTAAGTATGATGACTATGCAAAAACATGCAAAAAGGGTCATTTATTTAAGGTATATGTTTTTCATGCTATTTTTTTATAAAACTTCATAATACAAGTATAAGAGACATATTACAAGGCACCATCCACATACAAGATAATACTCACATAATATACATGCTCAACTAATACCAAACTACAAGACATAACCATATTTATCAAGTAAACCATTTCATCATCTAAGACCCTCCATCTAAGGTTATCCTAAGACCCACCTAAGTAAGACATGAAGGGGCCACCCATACAACCTTTTCACACACACCTAAGTGTTCCTCAAGACTACCAAAGATAAGGACCTTTCCCTTTCAACATAAACCAATAAGTCAACATTCGTTATTAGAGACATTTAAGGTGACGTTCATGCATATAGGGGACTTCACATAATAGTCATTAAAGACTTAGGGAACTCACTTTAGTACCTTCAATGCCTACTCGTGCCATGTGTAGATAGCATCCCATACTACTACCTACACGTTATAGAACCTATCAAGTAACTAGAGTGCACAACCCACATGATGGGAATGGGCATTAACCGACATACACCACACTAGCTAGGCATGGAATCCAGTGTCATAAGACCCCACACCGTGGAAGGTGTTCTACTTGCCAAGGGTAGAACTAGGACACATCCCATGTAGGCACATGGTTTAGGGGATATCCAAAGATGTTCATTGTACTCTTGCCTCATACTCGGGAGAGCTACCATCTTAACCATATCCACTCGGTGCTTAGCCCTATTTCCCATAGAGTAATTTCATTCACATGTATGTGCTAGAGAGGGCACCATCATTAGGTCTACCGACCCATAGCACATCTACCAAGAAGGGCACCACAAGGATCTACCAATCAAGGTTCATTA